TCTAGAGAAGAAACATGAGAAATGAAGAGTAAATATATATATATATATATATATACATATATATTAGGACATATGTATACAATGTGAATTGATCATGACAATCAGGAAAAGGTTGAAAGTGATTTTACATAAAAAAATAAATCGAAAATGTTGAATAAAATTTTTTCATATGAGGTTTTGTTTTCGAAAACATTTTAAATATTCGCTGGATGCATTTATGTAATTATGTCGATTTAATAAATCTCACTGTATGCTATTATCTCTGCTCATGTTGTATTTATTATTGTAATATCTAGGTAATTGAAAATACACAAGATATTCACGCACAATTTTATTACATTAAAAAATTTATAAATTATTAAAAATGTTGCCCATTCAATCGAATACACAATTCTACTCTTCGAAATAAATTTCTATAATGAATGCTTTCTAATATATTCTGATACTTTAAAGTTTAATTTATCAATTAAATCCGTACTCAGAGAATATTTAAAATTGACCTTTTCAAAAACAAAGTCTCTATAAAAAAATTTTATTCTGCATCTTCAATTTATCTTTTCATGTAGAATCATCCCCTTTTCGGAACGTCGATAATATAATTTTTTTCCGAAAGGAGAAACATGAAAAGTTTTGCGTAAATACTACGATTTCGCGGGATCATGTAACTTTCTCAACCGTAAAAATGTGAAATTGTTTACGTGAATCATTTACTTATTCATTATGAATTATGATGGTTGAAAAGCGGAAATCTAGAGAATTAATATACTTCAGAATTAGAATAAGTATAGTCTGACCGTGTTACTGTCTGCGATAGTTTATTATCTCGTGAGATGGATTACTATCATAAAATAAAAATACCAGCTTAAAAACTAACGCATATATTTATAAGCTACATATACTTATAATTAATATCACGCTATGCGGAAAAAGCTTCATGTGAAAACTCGAAGAGTGCAAAAATGAAAAATAAAAAATAAGAAACAAAATGTGAAAAATTTTTTTAAAATGTACAAATTATATAATTGACCTCCAGTTCATAAACATTGTAGGGGCCTTTTACGGTTCTTGAAATAAAGTGCAAAATTAAACAAATTTATTTATAATTTCATTGTCAACACAGTGAATTTATTCATTTTTATCATTTTTATCATTTTCATCTCATTTCTAAAACCGTAATAGGCCGCCTATGTATGAAAATGATATTTACGTTAGTGGAAATCTAAATAATTTAAAGTTTGACATTCCTTTAAAAAGAATTCTATTTCAGGGAGCTACAATATCGTGTGGAGGTGCAAAACCGAGTTTATCGTCGTGAGATGGCACAGCTGGAATTGGAATTGGCTAGATTGGAGAAACAACTGGCACAGGAGCCAGTAGAGCCGTCACACACCTCATCAAGCGCCTCGATCCCACAACGAAATCCAAGTATTGGAGGCGGTTTACCTCTTTTGTTACTCAGTGTTCTTCCGCCGGTTATCCCTCGAGCTAGCTGGCCTTCCGCAGATTCGTCCGGTAAGTATAAATCGACGTAGATCCGCCGTGCAAAACAACGCTATTCCGACTTGATTAAACACTTGGATTTATTTTATGCTTATGATTAAAGACTGAGTTGTTACATCTTTCGACTAAACTTCAGCTCACTCTCTTACTCTTTTCTCTCTCTTATTCTTTCATATGCTTATGCTCTTTTACTCTTTTATTTAACCATTAGATAAATTATCACATAATTAATCCGAAGATGGAACAATTGACCCTATTTTTTCGTCTCTATAGATAACATGGATAATGAAATATCCGGGAGATATCTGGAAGATATTCCCAAGGATAAACTTATCAGTAACTTATCTAGAGGTGAAAAAATTGCCCAATTAATCTCCTCGTTGAATAAATCCTTGTTCAAGAGACAATAGTTAGATAAATCGCGACAGCAAAAAACACAAAAGCACAAAAGCTATTAGGACTTAATTATATATTACGAAAGAGGTAACATAATATTGATCGCGGCCAATAGAACAGATCATACATGTGATTCGTACATGTGATTCGTACATTCCGCGATAGATTGGCTTTCATTAGTTCTAAACTTGGAAACTAAGATTCGCATTCTATGAAGGAACGACCTCCTTCGTCGAAATATATCATTTATTAAAGTTTGTGTGAAATCAAAGTTTAACTGATGGAAATACTTGACTCAAAGTGCGACTGGCAGATTATCAAAACAAGAGCACAGAAAGGCAGGAATAGACGTGTCAAAGCTTGCACGACGAATCGAGCTTTGCTATAGCAGGAGAGAAGGAAGGAATTATAAGTATTAATGTTTTTCTCGCTTCGTCGTTCTTTTTTTCCGTCGATCAGATGCCCAAGGAAGGTGACAGAAATCCCTTTATTGCACGTAATTGCTTGAAAAACGTTCACTCACGCTTGTCTGCCTGAGTTGAAGCGTGAGAAGAGAGCTCGAGTTATAGAAGTATAGCAGAAGAGAAAAAAGCGTTTTGAAATCCTTTCTCGAAATGTTTCTTACGTGTTTTGTAAATTAGATTTATGCAGAACGATTATCGCTTCTACAGAGAAAAGTAACATATGCATGCGTAAATTTAGTACTCGAGATACTGTCGACACACTGCAGACCCAATTAAGTGTGTGAAAAGTAATTTCAATATATATGTGTTTAGTTTTCCGTATAAAAATCACTACATGTTTAAACGTATAAATTAAGGTAACCAATTCTTTAAGAAGGCAAAGAGGGACATTAAAAAAATTCAATGTTAGTAATTATCATAAAATGTTAAAAGATAAGCATTTTTTAAATAATTGTTAACGAAAAACACAAATAAAATCATATTATTCGTAATAAATAATTAATAACACTTAATGTATAACATGAGATCACAATAAAATTACGTCAAGTTACAAGATCATATTTTTATTTTTTAAAATTGCACTTTTCTACTGAATGTATTTTATGAACAATATCTTTTTAAATTTTAAAAATCATAAAATTCACATATTAATTGAAAATTACATTTCATATTTTCATTTATTATTTCACATTTACTATTTTTAAACTCAAAAGAGACAATTTATAATTATGTCTTTAATTTGGAACAATATTTATATTGTAAAGTGGGACGAAGAGTTAGAAAAGGGACGAAGACTTAAAAAAGTTTGGAATTGTCATTTTTGATTTAAGACGGTTGATCACTAAAATGTAAATTCATATTTATGTGAATTATAGTAATTGTATGCAATATAGTTATTTTTATATGATAAACTAATCACACACATATTATTGAAATCATTTTACACACTTGAATTTGCAGTGCAGAAGTTTTAATTATAGTGCATTAATTATTCGTTGTAAATGTTTTATATGAAGATATTCCCAAAGCTTTGTATATAATGCGAAGAAAAACTTACCTAACAAAACAAAGTAGCAATGGACAATCCTCTTTAAAATAGTTTTAGAAATTATTTAACATTAGACTCTCGGTTACCAGGTCATGTCGTTGTACAAGGCCACATTGAATAGTTGTTCAATTTTGCAAAAATAAATCCCTTTTCATCCTCACTATAACTGATGTACTTTTTTTACAGATTGCATGGACAAAATGCGATAATCGCTTACAATTATTTCATTCGTGAGTCGAGAAACACGTGCGCCTCGTAATTGATTTTGTTTATTCCTATTAACAAAGGGAAACTTTCCTCGAAAACTCACTGTCTCACTTTGCCATTTGCAGCACATCGTGCGCTTGCATCGCGGAATATCCGCTTTCAACTGTCATGCACATGCATATTTACGCTTCGATAATTCATCGACGACGCCGGGGCGCAAGACATGTATCGAGTACTTCGTGTACCAATTATCGTTAGCATCAACTTAATGATCGCGAGAATACCATTCAATATTATTAACAAATAAGAGCTCGTTGAGCGAAGAGTTTCTGTATGTATATCGATTCTCGTTCCGAGTTTCACATTACCCTATACTCGATTCGTATCTGCAAATCCCGAATCCCTTGAATAAGTTCGGACAATTCTGCATACGATAACATATGTCAAGTACGAGTCTGCACGCTGACTGCACGTTCCACCCCAATATTTCTGAATGTCTACCATGACCGGATCGAACGAGGTCAAAGACGCCAGTTTATGTGTATGCATGCATACGGGGTGTCTTTCACCACCATTGCCGGAAAATCATGGACTCTTTGAAATTTTGAAGACAATTTCTTTGAAGAAAACGGAAATAAAAAAGAGAAAGAGAGCGCGATCTAATTTCAAATATCTTTTCCATTTAAACGAATCTTATATGTATAATATATTGATTTATTGAAATTAATTAAATTTTTTAAATTAATTTATTTACAAACATTAATTAAAATTTTTTAATGCTTTTAATTAAAATTTTTAAGAAAAGATGATCTGAATTAAGAAAAAAATTGTAGTCATAATTTTTCTGAAAAATTTCAGTTTCTAATCTATCACAATACTGTCACATCAAAAATATTCTTTGCTGATAGTATATCCTATACATCTTTGCATTACGTAAATTACACACTGCGTACATGATATATGACTCGCCGCATATGTCTGTGTACTGCAAACTCAGATGACGGAAATATTTAGTAATTATCTTGAGTCCTTCATATGTCAAAGTATCAAAGTAACCACTATCTGAATAACAAACATTCCTAGCAAGTTATGTTGAAGATATAAATTGTACGCTTTTGTTTTGATTTTACATAATTAAACATTATTAGTCTTTTAAATCTTCTCGGCTAATCAAGACAAAGTTTTGAGTGCAATTATTCACAATTTTTCTTAAGGATCATTTTCAGAGAGCCATTTTTAAAATAGATAAAAGCAATCTTGCAAATTGCAAAAATAATATTTCCCTACAAGCGCAAAATATTTCTAGAATATTATATGAATATTATTTTAAAAAATTAAAACAATATTATAATATTTCGATATTAT